ATTCAGTGACTTTTCAGAACTAGTTTTAAGAAATAAGATTTTTTAAACAACAGGTTGTTGAATCCATTCACATAAAAATCTAACTGATACGTCAAGCAGTGGCACCTAGTTTCTATCTTTTCGAATTATTCCTCTCAACTGATACCAAAAACCCATTTAACCCATTTAATAAATAAGATATTTACATTTCAGAATTAGAATAATCTATTCACAGTCTTTAATTACTCAACTCAACCCTGCAGGCACTTCAGTACCCAGGTTTAGAGCTGCTGCTGCAACTTCCTGTGAGAAGGAAGTTTTCACCCTGAATGAAGGGCCACGCAAAACCACCACGGCCAAGACAGCAGCCGCATGGAGAAATGTCCTGAAAGCTACCCAGAGGCTGCTGGCACATGCACCGCCCTGCATCCAACATACACCCCCACCATATGTCCCAACTCACAAACACACACACACCATACTTGTCGGTATAGAAGAATCTCTTTTTAATCTCATGTGCCTGCATGTCAGACATAAGAATAAGCATTACTCTACTGTGCAGGAGTTCAGTGTCATTTTGAGACACTGTTACCTCACCTGATCCAGTGCTTCTATTTCTTGGCTTTGGCTGAGGTTTCCTCTGCCTCCCACTTACTTTTCAAGGGAAATGCTGCAATTTTACATAATATTCATCTGAAAATACTTTTCAGATGAATAGTTCCAAGCAACATGTATCATCAATGTCCTGTAAAAACCATGCATCTTGGAAAATGTCAACTTTTTATGACCTAATTAATACAGCACTATCCACAGCTTTATGACACTGCATTTTTAATATCTTCCAGTGGGCTTTAAATGATTTATGTGTCTTAAGAAGTAGGAGGGTAACAGTGGAAATGTCGATCACACTATCCCAGAGCACAATTTGGGCATCAGTTTCGTCTTGTTTTGTATAGTCAAATTTACTAAAATACGGCTTGTATTACACAAGCTTGGAGTTTTTACTTAACATAATACCATCTCATCAATTGGTGCATTGATTCTGGCCACCCTTGCTTCAGTTTGAATTGATGGACATGACTAAAATAGAAGGATTTCCCCTTTAAGAAGTGGATACTTCCTCCACCAGCCCTGCCTCTGTGTGTGTGGGCATGTTGTTTGCTGTAACTGTATTTCCTAAATGAAATGTTGATTGTGTGAGAGCACATTAAGTTCCTGAAGTAATTCCTGTGTTGTGTGGGCCGGGAGTGTGGAGGTGAGGTCATGTGATCAGAAGAGGTCGGCTATTTCTCAAGCAGGCGATGAGAGACAAAGTAATAAGGAGTAGTGGGATGTCTGAGGAGGCGGCTTATGAACTGCTGGTGGTTTCTGTGCAAATGTGCAAGTGTGTGTGTGTGTGTGTGTGTGTGT